AAGAGACAGCCTTCCTTCCTTCCCTCCCCTCCTTCCCCTGGAATGAAATGAAAATGGTTTTTTAATGGAAAACATCTTAAAAGAGACATAAGTAAAAAAAAAAATAGGTGTTCTGCCCTCTTCCATGTTTCTACTGTGTTGGGCTATCATTGATAATCTGACCAGTTTGTGGAAGATAAATGCAGAACTGAATTGTCTTAACAAATGTTAACAGAAAGAGAACCTTTGTGGTGAACTGATTTGTGACCTACTAATGTTGTTGTGTTATGTCTGCTGAAAGAGTTTGACATGTTTTCATCCTGAATGTACCTGAGACTTAGTGCTTCACCTAATAAGGACTGCAGAAAGTAACAATTTCTGATGTGTTGACTAGCACTGTGTCTGTGTGTATATAAACAACTGTAACTCATAGGGATTTGTATTCTATATTTGTGAGGCTGTAAGGCTACAAATAGCTGGGCAAATTCTTCCCTAATACCACAAGTGCAAATTCTAAAAAATTCTGGTTATTTCAGTTGACATTTTATTCCAAACTTGCATCAGTGAAACAGAGAGAATTAGTCTTAAAGGACTTGTATATGTTCTGTTATGAGTGTGAAGAGGAGGAGGGTGGCTTTTCCTCATCTCTTGAAGTTATGTTTGTGATATACTCCTTCGGCTTCAGGCCTCTCTATTAATATGTTTTGAAGATCACAAGGATATAAGCTTCAAAAGTATCTTGTGAATCAGTGGCTGGAGGAATGAGAAACAGATCATCCCTTGCAGAAGGCAATTATGATTTAATTGTTTATGCATTCTGGCCAGTTGGCACAGCTGGCATGTATTGGCTGTCCGGTTGGCACATGAGTGTCTTCCTATCAATTTGTTCAGTCAGACAGGTTGAGGGTCACAACCTGTCGCAGGTGTCTCTCAACAGATCTCTCAACAGAGCTGTTTTAGTAGATACTGAGAACAGAGGAGACTAAAGAAGGGTATGTGGGAAACTGGGTATCATTAATTCAGCTGCTTATGACATACCTGACTTTCTAAAGAAGATTAAAGCTAAAATAATTCCGTAATAAAAATCGCATAGTTTCTGTTCTTCCAACAGCTACTTTCTGCATCTCACAAGTTCATCCAGTGAGATTAGACTGTTTGATTTTAATTGCTTTAGTTTGCTTCCAAACTCTTTATTTGAAAGATTATTTAAAAATTTCAAACAAAGTTTTTTTCTCTTTTAAAAGTGTTGGTAAAGGTCATTGGACAGTAAAAAAATCTTATTCATTGGTCTCATTGAGCATAGCAGCCCATCTGTATAGACAGGCATAATGGTTTATAGTACAATAGTGTAAATCAATGTTTGTTTGAAGCTATTATTCTCTAATAATACAAATGTTCCAAATTATATAGTATGGCATTTTAGAGAAAAAGGTAGTTGTTCTAAATAACAAATAAGGTTTAATTACTGTAGTATTTCATAAAGGTAAGAGCATAAGAGTAACATGTGTTTTGGATGTTCAGATCTTTGCTGTTGATGATGATATGAGGAGTGGGGAAGTTCTTACACTTTTGTGAAAGTGCTGATTCAACTACTAATTGATTTTTTTTCTCCTCTTTACCCACCTCCATCTTTGTCTTACAGTTCTGGTGTAACACAGCAGCTTTCTTTAGCTATTACTGGTTTTCTCAGTTCTGCTTACAGTTGTATCTTGTGTCCCATACCAATTCTAAAGTGGCTTTTCCAGGTAAGACTATACTATTCATGCAGTTACATTCTATTCAGGTATAATACTCTTCCTGGAAACCAGTTGTAGCAGGAATGATGAGAACAAACTTGTAAATCTGTTGCATTAGGTTAACAACTTCTAAATTAAAAAAAAAATATTTCTGGGTTCTGATTTGTTCTCCAGTCTGAAATACTTCTATTGTCACTGGGGGTAAAACACCTAGAGATGGCTTTTTTTCCACACTTAGAGTGGCTGCAAAGCTGCACGTCCCTGTCCATCTTCATATGTATTACTGCATTTGAAAAGGGCACAGCATATGCTACAAGAGAAGAGATTTTAGGATATACTAGTGTGGGCCAAATCACAAACAAATGTTAATCTTGCTTCCTTCCACCAAATAAAAAAAAGCACATACTACAGAATGTAAAAGTGCAAAAGTACCATTTCTACATATATCACCACCTAAGTCATCAGATACACCTACATTATCAGATATTTTTCATTTGGAAAAGGTCGATGTACATTATGGCTCAGGAAGAAGTCTGGAGACATTCTCAAAGGAAATGTGGTAACTGTCTGCTTTCTAGATGTCTGTGTTGGTGTCTAAATCCCCCGGAATTTACATTTCTGCTACTCACAACAGTGCTCCTCTCCAATTTCCATTCTTTTATTATTTACCATATTCTAACTGTGCCTGAAACAAACAAAAAAGCTGGACCATCTGTGAAATTGCAACCTGAGCCTGTTGACTGGCTTTCTGCTCTTGTCAAAATGGAAATGTTTTGCTCCTCCATATCCTTCCCTTCATCCAGTAAAAAATTGTCTTCTACCCCTTCTGTGAGCACTGGTGTTCCTCTAATAAGGAGGAAGTGAAGTGGGAGCCAATTCAGCTCACACTTGGGGGGAAAAAAAAAGAGTTTGCTGAGCTAGTGAAGTGCTCCAGGAAACCTGAACTGTACTTTGTAATCACATTTTTGTAGCTCAGAGTTCTATGAAAAATGAAGAATTCATTGTTTTGGTTTAGTTTTTCATATGTTCAACTTGCCCATGACTGGAAAATGTTGTAGTTAACTCTGTTGTCCCAGCTCCTGATGAGTTCAATTTGATCACAGATGCAAACAGGTTCCAAAGGGATACATGATACTTTCCATTCTCTTAACCCTCACTGTCTTCTTATGAACCAAAAGATTCAGCATGGGGTTACAGCATTCTGATGTTGCAAATAATTACAAGTATTCATAGCATCTGTGCACTGCTTGAAATAATCGATATTCACAATATTGTGTTCTCCTTGGTGTATCTTGCTTTGACATTATGGGGTTTTTTTTAATGTTTTTTATTTTATATTGCCAAAGAGTTGTTTGAGGGTTTTTTAATCAAAATAAAACTGATGCCATCATGCACCTTGGTGTTTGACATGTAACTTCTTTTCTTTCCACAGATGATGTCTGTCCATCCTGACTATTGTGTTTCCACCCAGATTTTAGACAGATTGATGGAGATAACACTAAAAAATGGTGAGTATTTGAAGGATGGAAAACTGACCACCTGAATGAAGGCATTTCTCCTCTGTTAAGTATAGAAAGGTATTGGGGAGGAAGTAAAAGGCACTGACTTTGTTCTGTGATTCTGGCATGAATTTAGGCTCTTCTGTTACTTACATAACACACAAATCCTAGGAGTTGGTCTTCACTGAGTGTGTGCAACCTGTACCACAGGATGTGGTCTTGGCATGTATTTGGAAAGCAGTACAGCTGGTACAGAGCCTTTTAAACTCACTTTTGTTACTTCATAAATAGAATTGACCTGAAGAGGAGCCCAGTCTGCTCAAAGTTTACTCTCTTTTGTCTTTTACTTTGGAAAATGCAGAGATGCATTTCATAGCTTAAGGACTACAAGATGTTTTTCACATAGTATGTAGCACTGCATAGTTCACTTTCCAGATACATGGCAAAAGCGAAAAGAATCATACAGCTGCACAAAAACACTTGCAAGGATCTGCTTCAGCCCATGCTGCTGCCGGTGTCTTGTGTTTTGCCTTTCTTCACCTGTATCCTCAAATACTTCTCAAGTACAAGTTCCTTTGTATGTTCTCCATGTCTTCATTTTATTCAGATCATCAGAAGTCACTAATTCATTTGTCTTTCAGTTAACCTCATAGAAGTAATGCCATTCTTTTGAAGTACTTGCTCAGATCTGTGCAAATTGTACCCTGTATTTTGAATCTTGTTTGAAATCAGACTCTGAGCCGATATGAGAGGGGAATGTAGCTTCCTTTAATGCCAGCAAAGCACAAAATAATCTTGATTCTGAATGAAGAGCTGATGAATGAACTTTCAAAGGATTTAGACTGGTAGAGATCCCAGCAGATCTCCGATCTTGGATTAGGATCAGTTAGGCTACAGTTGCTCCTGGAAAGTTGTGTCACCATTTCAAAACTGTGGAGTCTTCAAACCGTTCTGAGACATTCTGTTCCAGTGCTTAACTAAGGATGCATCTTTTTTGTTGTTTTACCAAATTGAATGTTGAGAACCGAGCCTACAGTGTCTTGAGTGTTTGTTCCATTTTATTTGTTTTTTTTCATACAAACTTAGCTCTAAGACATAAAATTGATCCTATTCAGAATTCTGGTTCTGTCATTGTTTGGAAAACACTGTGTCTAGTTTGATGTTACCTTGCTAGCGTAGTGTCCTATAGAGAATCCTCTGTTCAGTTTGCAGACTTTCAGATAGGAGTTATCATACAAATCATCCCTTTGGCAATGAGCTTTGTTTCTTATTTCTATCAAATAAGTGAATTCCATCTGTTTAACACTTCTATTCTAGAAACCTTCCCTGTTTCTAAATCTTTACTTAGCTCTACTTCCAGTCCCTCTGTGATAACATCCTCTTACCTGAATCTGCACAGAATGATTATTTGTGTATTCTCTTAAAAGTAAATATTGCATCCTTGCTTATTCTGCTGTGATGAAAGAGCAGTGAGGGAGAATGGGTGGAACGTTAATTCACTTGTTACATAGGCAAGATATTTCTCTAGCATAAAGTACTGTGTTAGGCTATATTTTTTCCCCCTCATTGTTTTGAAGATAAGCGTATTGCTTAATGTACCAACTCTTCTGAGATGAGACCTGGTAGAATTGATGCAGACTACTGAGATTAGTTGTTTCCCTTAACAGGAGCTAATGCTAAGAACTAAATTTAAAACTAATCCATTCCATGTCTTTTACTTGTAGCTTCCATCAGTGATGAACAATCTAAACCATGGATTCCCTCACTAGCTGATGTGTCAGCTGTTTTTGTCAATATGGGTGTTGCGTTTAGATCTCTCTTTCCATTGCAACATCTTCAGCCCAACTTTAAGGAGAGTGATATTTTGTAAGTGTTTTCCTTTTGATATTTATGGCTTAGATCCTGCGAAAGCAGGCCTTGTGCTTAGAATGTAGAATGAGAAGGTGCTCCTTTATTTCCCCTCCCTTCTATCAAGCCTTCTCTTTAAATTCTCAGCTCAGGTCTTAAGAGTAAATAAGCTAGAACTATCAAATAATGTCTGCCAAGTAAGGGTTCAGCAAACAAGAGCATTTGTCCTTTGTCCTGCACCTTCCTAATGGAGGTTTCCAAAAAATGTTGCCTAAATAGCTAGGCAGAGTGTAAGTAATTGGTTACAAGTTGAGATAGATGTATCCTCTGCAACTGAGGATTGTTTTGATTTGAAGGCATTTTCAAACATGCAGGTTTGGTTTTTTTCTTCATTTTGATGCAAGTAAACCTTTGTGGGCTTTTAAGTTGTTGATTTATTGCTCAGATTAGTGTCTGTTTTATTAGAAATCAGATGCAAGAAACAATGAGTAAACAGCAGCCAAGAGGAGACCTAGCTTCTACCAGTCCAGTCTTCTCCAGTCTACCAGAAAACAATTTAATTAATGTGATTAAGGTGAGAAAACTCCAGTTAGTGTGAGAAGGATTTTTGTGGTGGGTGGAGTGGGTGAGTTGCTTTTTTCTGTTTTTTAGCAAAAACTCTGAGGTCTTAATCTAGTCCTTGTCATGTTTTGCGAGTAGACAGAGCTATCCTGGGGTTTCAGCTTCACATTGAGCAGAGCTTACTGCAGGCTTGTTGCAAATTTTGTTTCCCGATTTCCATTGGCTTCACTCATAACTGCACAGTTCTGCTGCCTCCCTTTTCCAGCTGTAGCACTCTATCAAACGTCTTTGGTCCCTTATGTAGAAGAAACTCTTAATTTCTGTGCTCCAGCGGAAATGGGAAGGGAAGTTGATGTTGGGTGGTATATCTTACGCTACCTCAGCATGTTAGTGCAGCTCTGAGATATTCGATCAGTGCCTGTGCAGCACCAGGGAAATGAGGTGGGAGCTCATGAGGGCAGGTGGAGCTGTGACTGACTCTCCTGTGGAAGTGAGCTGTTCAATCCATGCAATGTGTCCTGCGAGACCAGAGGCTGAATGAGTGCTTGTCATAACTTCACAGGCTAATTCTCTGTGGTTAAAGGTTGTATGGTGAAAATACTGACTTTATAACTGATTTCAGTTCCTTGTGGAAGTGTTTTAATCCTCCTAACATAATTTCTTTAGATTTTTAGCTATAAAATCACTTAGTTCAAGAGGAAGCATGCAGAGCATCTCTATTAGAGACAGAATAGACATCTCTTGATTCATTTGTGTTCTCATTTATACACACATCCCATATTGTATGTAACCTAAGTGATAATACTTGGGTGGGGAAAAATAATTTATGTTTTCAGTGTTACTTGTGTATTTAGAAGGTCTGTTGGTCTTTCATTCAGTTATATGGGGATTGTCTGTGCAGTGGAGAAAGATCTTCTGCCATTGTTAAAAGATGAGCCTCCGACAAGTATTAAAAAAAAAAAAATAGAGTGCAGTTACTGGAAGATGGGGAGATGTTAGTAACACAAGTGTTGCAAGAACAACATATCATTTGAGGTGCATTTTAATGTAGGGGTGGAAAACTTAAATTCTCATGGTACTTTACGCTAATCCAATTTCAGGTTTTAATGCTTTTTATTTCTTTTAAAGTTTCTAGGTTTCTGTACAACAGTAATTCAAGGTGGATATACTGATCAAGAAATACTACTGCTGCTTTTATTGCTATTTAAAATAAGCTTGGAGAAACAGCTGAAGGAAATTCCTTTGATAGATTTTCAGTGCCTTTCCATAAAGCTTCTGATAAGTATAAAAGACTGGGATACAAAGGTATAACTTCATAAATAATTTTCTTGTACTAGATTTATGAAACTGCAACTTAATTTTCAAGAAACGTCTGTTTTGAAGTTTTTGATATATCAGAAAAATACAGCTTGAAAATGTAATATGAACAAATTGGGAGCTTTGGATTTATGTGAGATTTAGAAGGTGGGAAGGAATACTGTGAGGGTTTTGTTGCATGACATTATGCTTGCCTGCCCTCTTCTCCAAGGGGACTGTTGTAATGAACCTGATTTTATATTTACTGAAATAGCTATATGTTTAAAATGGCTCTCTGAAAGAATGAAGAAGTGATTGCACTAAGCTGATAAAATGTGATTAAAAGCAGTCTGATCTCAACTATGCTATTGTAAAATAATATTTAGCAGACTTAACTACAGGTGCAGTGCAGAAATATCTTTATGCACATCATCTATTGTTAGATCAGTTCCTTTTAACGTTTATGGTGTGTGTGTTTCTAGGGAGTAGGTGTGTACTCCTCTGCAAATGAAACAAATGCCCACAGTATCTGTTCTTCAGTATCAGGATTTTTGTTGTTGTTCTTTTAAAGATGCCTGAGCTCTGCCTGGCAGTAAGTGAACTCTCCAGTCATCACCATAATCTCCTGTGGCTAGTTCAGCTGGTGCCGAGCTGGATAATACGTGGACGGTAAAGATACTGTAACATCAGAAATGTGTAGTGTCATTAACAGCTAATTTATTTGTATAAGAGCAAAGTCTGATAAATGTCATAGATATTAAATTTTCTCCGGGTGATTCATGTCTGACAATTAAAAGCAATCTGTCAGGAGTTCTGCATCTTTGAAATTAATAAATGATAATGTATCTGAGTGAGGAGAATGAATTGGGTCCTCAATTTCAGGCTTGGAGGCAAGCATCTAGCAGGGTTTACTTGTGCAGAAGAAAAGCTACAATGATATAAGGGTACTTACATTTTACTAGCCTATTTACTAGTTTAATAGCACCTATACTTAGAAAATCCAATTTAATAGTTGTAGGCAAGTTTATGTCTAGGAAAGCTATGCATAGCCTCGTATTTTTTGTAGAAACAGTGTGGATTTCAGAAATTCTCTGCAGAATAAATTTTTTTAATTGTTTTTCAGGGAAGTAAGAAGACGTCTTAGCCTAGTGATCATTTCAAAGCTTCTTAATAAAAAGCATATAGAAATACCTGATGACAGTGACAAGCAGGTACTGCATGTGTGTGTTGCGTGTGTATAATTTAAAAGTTTAGAGAACATATATATTATTGTGTTTTATGTTTTAATACTGTAGGCCTATTTTCAAGAACCTTGCAAGATGACCAATTAGTAATTTTTAGTTTAGTATTAGAAGTATATTTGCACATGCATGTAATCTTCATGTTCTGCAGCTTCTAAATGCAATATTGTTTATGTGCCTAAACATTCATTTTGCACATTGGAAAGCAGTCTACACTTCTTTTAGTCTTCCTTCTGTGTTCATGTAGAGTCACTCTTTGTTTTTGTATGGTTGTCTTTTATTGAGGCAACATACAAACACCTTAGTTTGTGAATAGTCAAAAATTACCCAGAGCATGAAAACTTCCATTTTAATTAAAAATCCCTTTTATATTCTTGTCTTAGTAGACAAATAATATTATAGTGCCACTGAATTTCCAATTTTCTGTTGCCAGTAAACCAGTGCAATTTGTTAATGTTTGTATCTGTAGATGTCTCTTCTGTATAATTTTCTGGTGTACATGAAACCTTCTAATCTACTAAAGAAGATGAGAGAAGGACTGGAGCAGCAGAGTGCTAATAGAGACCATATTCATACACAGCTAGAACAGGAGGTATATAGCTGATAATGCTTTTTTGTATTTGTCTTTTTATGCATCTTCTGCAGTTTTGAGTGTTTCTTTTAATTTCTGTTAACTGAGGACAGTTCTGTACGTGCACTGTACATTCACTACTTTGCTGTTTATCTGCATAGTTAAAATGTTACTCATGTTCAGTTTTGGTTATAGTCATGGAGGAAGGAAAGAGGTAGCATGTGATGGAGGAAGCTGTCTTAGGCCATTTTATAAACGGGGAAATCAGCCATTCAGAAAATCTGACAAGTCACATGGATGTCTTGAGTCCTCTATCTTCTGTAATCAGAAGACCATCTTCCTGCTGATGTAATTGGTGGGAACTGTTTGATGCTGAGCCAGACTGTCAACTGCAGGCTTCAGAAAGAGATATATGGATCTTCTATGAATATTTTCTCAAACAAGTATTAGAAAGGTTTAGTATTTCCATCCATTCATCCAGGAATTGAATATTGATTTGGTTGAGTCTACCATAGAATCTCTTAGCAGGTATTTTGATCTATATGTAGATGATGGGAAAATAAAGCCAACTGCTGAATTTCATTTTCATTTCATTTTAAAACTACAGAAAGTTTTGTAGGTTACTTAGGTAACTTAAAACAGTGTAATAATGTTTTAAAATGTTTCTGATATATTAATGTACTGTTTCAAATTGGTTATTTAGGCAGATGTGTAGATATACTTGTCCATTGATCTGGCTGTTGGAGGAATCATTCCAGAAAGCAAAGACAGTGCTTTATCTAGATGTGAAGAGTTACAATTGTGCTTTAACTACTAAAGCTCTTTTGATTTCTCTCCAGGCATACTACCTAATCTACATTCTCCTTCGTCTAGTCAGTGAAGCTAGTTTCTTTGATGTTGTAAATTCTAATCAAAGGGTAAGTAACTTCAGTGGCTAGATCTTTAGATTTTAAAATATCATGCAGACTTGGTCTGTTTTGGTAAGAGCTGTATCACGTGATAGAAGATCACCAGTGGATAATAGCACTAGGGGAAACTTTTGTTTAGGGCCAAAGTAAATGCAGAAGAGCTTTCTCTTTATTTACTGCAGAGAAACAAACCTCTTCTGCATTTCTGCAAATGAAACTACCTCAGAAGAGATAAGGCTGTGGGTCAGCAGACATTTATGTTAATCTGTCTCAGAAAGTAATGGGAGATTAACTCAACACAGAAATTCTAAGAAGTGTAATGATACATGAACTTTTGAAGTAAGGTTGAATTTTTCAGTCTAGAAGAAAACCACTTTGAAAATATCAAGTGAAATATGTTCAAACTCATCACAGTTTTCTGTGCTGAGTGCAGCCTGCTGCAGCAAGTGAAAGCTAGGACTGTATCTCTTCTGTTCTCTGTAGCAATAGTTCCTTTGTACCATGTGATGTGAATGTTTGTTAGGTAATACCTTCTGCTTAGCCTTTCAGTAATCCTGTTCAGATTTCTGTGAGCATTTGCCATGAGTTCTTTCCTGCAAGGTGTTTGTGTACACCTTCTGCCCCATGGAAATGGGGGCAGAAATCTGCCTTTTAAGAAATCTGTCATGTGAACTGTTTGTGACAGGTAAAGCAGTAACGTTTGCTTACATTAAGTCTATTATTCATTGACCTGTCAGTCATCAAGTGGCAAGAGGGGTGTGGCTGAATATTGTGCAGGCTAGACTTTTTATAAAATCAATGTAACTCTTTCATTTCCGGTCCTCTTCCAGTTAGATGGGGTAAATTGTCATGGTCTTGAGACACCAGCAAATGTTTGAGTAGAATTTCAGCATCTCGCCTGTTCTGCAGAGCAGAGTTTCTTTGCAGCTGTTCAGGGAGGGATTAACAGGCGTTTTATGAAGAAATTTGCAGAATGAGAAAGATCGTGGGAGTCATTATCAACAGACTATGAAGTTGTGAAACCGCTTTATTAGCATAATCAGAAATTTAGAGAGAAGTAAAAGATAAGCGAATAAACCTTGGCAGTGTTTTATGGGCTCAGCCAATTCTTACAAAAGAAAATTACCTGAGTCATTACTTACAAGGTTATTTTTAGCTATTGTAACTTATTTTTTCTGCTGATAAAAAGATCTGAATGTCACTGCACTTGCTACTTTGGAGACAGAAGGGATTTACAAATTAGCTAGTAGGAACTTTAAAATTTGTGAGGTATAGCTCTGCTATACTTAAAAGGTATTTTTCTAAAGCTCTTAGACCTGGTTTACCAGGTGCATATCAGCAGCTGATAGAGGATGTCGTGATCTTGTTTTCTTCGGTTTCCCCCTTCTTTACTGGATATTTCTGAGAAAAATTCAAACTGAAGCATGTAATTTTAAAATTGAAATAATATTTGAACAAAGTTTTAAGTTTTGACATGGAGGATTTAAATAGCTGTATGCTTTTGTCTTTATATAGCAACACTTGATGAAGCTTTGTGGTGCCTTAGATAAGCACATAAAATGTGATATTAGGGAAGATGCAAGGCTGTTTTATCGAACAAAGGTAAGACATGTAACTTTTTTTGTTAGTTTTGGGTTGGGTTTTAGCGTTCTTGCTGTGTGATGTTGCCTCATCTCAGCCCTGGAAATTGTAAGAGTTCCTCATGGGTTTGTTTTTCTTTCTGGTTTCTCTGTTTACATCATGTCTTTGCATGTATACAAATATATGCCCATTTTAATGCACTGAAAATACTCTTGCTGAACGCAGGACTCTAACAACTGTAAAATGTGAGCTTGTCTTACTTTTAGTCAGGCATCTGAACTTTTAGACTGACAGAGTTGCTCCATTTCTGTTCCTGGCAGTCACTGATAGTTGACTGCTTTTAAGAACAGAAGTTACATGCAGGGCAGAATACAAAGGTCTGAAAAACTGGCCTATCCTGTGTACGTCTGTTTTATTTTCAGATTAATGAGCTAGTTAAAAATTTTGTGGACTTAAGACAACAGTGTATGTGATGTAGCATCAAGTTTGGATAATTGCCTTTCATTTGCTTTGTGGTGTGGGGCTTACTAATGATAGTTGTAATTTTGTGACTTTCATGCTTTGCACACTGTTGTAGCAAGCCAAATCAGATCAGTGGTAAAGTGACCGACCTCAACTTTGAAAAGCCTTGGCTTCTTCACTTTAAATCATACAGTTGCAGTTGTGTGCATCCTTACCTCTCAAGAAGATTTTTTTTTTTTTCTTCAGCCAGATTAATAGAGCATGGATCCTTTTCACAAGTCTTGCCTTGGATTCTTGTATCTCAGGTTGCTTTCACTTTTGTTTCTGTAGCCCTTGCACTGAGAGGGGGAAATTTTACTCTCCCCATCTATTTGTGTAGTGGTACAGTAACTTCCAGAGGATACCACTGTGCTGGGTTTTAACACAGCATATAAAGCAAATCTCAATTCTGAAGGGCTTGCCTTAAACACCTGCTTGTGATTGGTTATGAAAAAGCACAGTTTTATTGTGTAAGGAATTAATTTCAGAAGCAGATAGTGCTGCATAGTTGGCTTTTGTGATTGCAGTTGCAGCCACCTCTTCTAGGGTACAGACTTGTTTAACAAACCGAACTGACCTGAAGGATGAGGTGGGGGGGTGTTTGGAGGCCAGAGGCTTGCATGCTGATTCCAGACACTTAACATGGGGAGTCATGTGCCTGTAATATGTTTGTGTGGAGTACATGAATTCAGAGTCCCAAATTACAGGGATCTGTTTGGAATTGATGTGGTGGTGATACTTAGTGTCAACTGTAAAATTGTTCTCCATGTTAACCCAACACCCAAGGTTTATCTGGGGTTTTATGAATTCGGAACAGGGGGAGAGACAGGGGCTGTAATTTTGTCTTTTTTTTAACATAAATGTCTAAACTAATCAATCTGAATTTGCAGGTGAAAGAATTAGTTGCTAGAATATATGGCAAATGGCAAGATACGATACAAACCACTCGGCTTACTCAGGTACTGTAATGAAACCTCTCTTCATATTTCAGGGTGAATTTAACTCATTTTTTAGCATTTGAAAATAGCATGTTCTTTCAAAGAGATTTTTTTTTTCTTCATAAATGACATGGCTGTGGAATATACTTAGATGTATTAGAGTAGATTTCAGTTAAAATTCTTACTTTGCTGACTTCAATAAAACCAAGATTTCATCTTTATCCTTGAAAGTAGTGCTTTTGTAAATGGCTTGTATAATACACTAAAATGCTAGTACTGAGTCAAGTTACAGGGCCTGTCTCTGATTATAGTTATTAGCAGATGCTTCAGAAAGGACGTTGGAACAGGAATGTAGTGATGCACTTCCTGCTGTGGTCTGGCAGTGTGTGACTTTGAGACTACTTGAGTCCAAGGGTCTATCCACATATGTTTAATAGCTCTTGATAACTCCTCCCCCTTTGAATATGTCATATTTCATGCAATGATTAGGAAAAGCCTTTCATGTTCTCGAAACGCAGTAGTAAATAATGTGTCTCATTCATATTTGCCTTCATGATAGCTAGCTGGCCTTGGTGGAGTAAGTGGGTAATTTCTACTGCTATCCAGAGTTCAGAGCTGTTTCTCTCAGTCTAGGGTTGTAAGGGGTTTTTTGTAATGTGATCAGACCAACTGTTTGAGTCCTGTCTTGGAATATAAAGCTACCTGTTTTAGAAAAGCTCAGCTTTCCAGTAATGTAGTGTATCACATAAAATTTAAATGCTTAGTATTTATTTCAGTTCAAAATTCTGTAATCAAGCATTTGTCTGTAAAGACTATTAATTGCTCCCAGCAATGTGCAAAAAAGACATTGTTGGTAGTGTGTGTGGTTTTTGGTTGGTTTTTTTTTTTGTTTGTTTGTTTTGTTATAGAGGATGAAGGGAATTAAGACAGTAACACATGGCTGGAGAAACTACTCAGCAATAGATGAAAGCTGATAATGATGCAGCTCTGTCAGAGTTGTCTTTTCAGAGATGTTTGGGGTTGATTCACATATGGGGAAACTGGCAAGTGTTTCAGAATAAAATTCTAGTGACTTGCAACACTGTGGTGATCTCAAGCTAGACACTTGGCTACTATCCTATCAGTGGTTTTCTGACTTGTTTACTATTTTGGTTTTACTCTTTAGGGAAAACTACATGACTTCTGGGAGCCAGATTCTTGAAGTCTTGCCTAGTTCAGGGAAAGTTAACAGAAAAACTCTGATACCAAGGAAGACATAGAATGAATGGAGCTTCACCTTGGTTGGAACAGAAGAAGAATCTGAGTTCTCAGGAACCTGAGTTAGAAGTTGAGCTTGATTCAGGCAAATAAAATAAACACAGTCATCTAATTAATAATTGCTTTTACTACAAATACATTACTTCTGAAAAATTTAAGTAGATAAAAAAGCCCAGCTATTTAGATAGCTCTGTCTGAATTGGCTAGCAATGTTTTATCATATTGAAAGCTGAGGGAAGTTTTCTCATTTCTGTTGTTAATTGTAAGACATATTTGAAAACTGTCTGTGTGAATTTTCTTGCCAGCGCCCACCTGCAAGTATTGTTTTAGGATGGCTGGGAAAGAGCTGCCCTGTGACACAGAACGTGAGTTCAGTGTTAGACCTGCCCTGTTGTGAGCAGATGAGGAAGTGGTTCAAAACTGGACTGAATAACAGAATTGCCTGCACACGTTAATTTGCAAAGCAGAATTGGTATGATCATCCAGTGTCCCTAAAAGTGGATTCTTTGCTCTGTGGTTGTGTTTTATCAAATAACAAAATGGAATTTGTTACTGCAATGATGCATTCATTTTAACTTCCTCGTTTTCAGGCATTACTTTATTTATGCAGTGAATGTGACTGCACGGGAAGTGTTTCTGTAAGACCAAGTTATAAATGAAATCTTATTGTACCAGTAGTGTTGTTGTACTGCTGTTTAAGAATCAAACACCTGTGTTATCTGCCTTCAGCACTCCCTCTAAATGGAGAAAGTGCTAACCCTAAAATCTCAGCTCAGTGGAGATTTGAGGAGATGAGCTTTTGGCCCACCTATGTAAAACCTGTGAAAGCCATATGAGGTCTGAATTCCTTTCTGTGAAGTTTTGCTGTGCAGACAATATGTACACAAAGCTCCAGGAGCTGTTTGTGAAAAAATCAAAGGAAGATGTGATCTCCTTTTGTGATCTCTGTGCAGATGCCATCACTTAAATGTTTCACTGTGGTTTGTCTGTAGGATGTGTGTATATATGAAGAGAAAGTTAAGGTATTGGGTAGAAACACCAACTGGGATTCCTGTAACAAGTGAGATTTTTTAATAATATCAACGTGTGCATTTTAAAATACTGTTTCCTTTTAATTTTTTAGATTACCTGTCTTGTATGATAAATTGCCTACAACTTTCCAAGATGAGAAAGTAAAATAAGTTTCAAAAAAACCCCACCCCACCTTCAAATTTAAGTATGTATATTACATATAAAGGAACTGCTATAGAATGAATCCATCTTATAGGGAAGGTATTTTATTTGCAAATTCGTATTTAAATGTTTTGTCTTTCATTTCAAGTGTTAGAGAATTAGCCTAAGACTGCAGTGTCTCTGTGCTCTTCACAGGATAATCATCTTATCTTTCTTCAAAAGTTATGCTGTGGCATTGTTTGGGGAGAGGGGGAAGAAAATCCCTTTTTTAAATCTCAACATGTTGTTTAAGAATTGGAAGAATCTACCTCAAAGGGTATCTTTGTTTGGAAATAAAACTGCTTTAGGCTAAAACCAAAAAAATTACATGGTGTTATATATGTATGGCAACGCCATCCTTTGCTCTGCTTGTCTTCGATAGTGTATCAACCTTCCCTCTGGTAGCAGTTGGTTACTCTATTGAATATATTGTATGTAATTTTATTAATGTTTATATTTTTTTCTCACTAATGTTGTATAAAGTTTTTTTAAAAATGCAGAATGTTAACTGTATGTGATGTGTATATATTTTTTTACCATGTAAAGTTGAAGTTGCTGTCCTGTATATTTTGGAGAAGGAGAGGGGTTTAGATGAACAGCTTTTGTACTGCAGTTCAAAGCACATTGAAACTGCTGAGGTTTTTTTTTCCAGATGAAATAGCCACTTTGATATTTACTTTTCTTTAACAGAACAATGAAAAAATAAAACCAGACATGCTTTTCTAATTAAATGTCCCTGGACAAAATGGGCATGCCTCAGCTCTTTTCACAAAAAAAGGCTGTGGATCCTATTTTGGTCTTACGGTACACATTGTCATTCTTGGGTTCACAGCTGATTAGCTTACTATAAATGGAGAAAGTCTTGAAATCATTCTTAGCTCAGCCAGTCCTGTGTTTTCATGCTTAATTCTGTGTATACATTCCTGTATTTTCCCTCTCTCTTCTCCTCCTGCTTTGTCTGGACTTTCTTCCGTCTAGGCTTAGGTTGAATTGGAGCTCATTAGTATCCTTAGAGATGATCCCAAAGCATTGCTGCAGAGTCTTTACAAGGACTGCTGAGCGGAGCACTGCTTCAGGACTTCTGGAATTGAAATAGCAAACCTGCTGCCGTTGTGTTTCGCTGACTCATTTACTGGCTACCAGCCAGAAGTTACATGTGTTGGAAAAGGCTGTTTGCACAGTAAATGTCTTAACTGCTTTGGTCGTCTTCAGATAAGCATTTTGCACTGACATTTATCTTTTGATATTATGATGGTTGTATTAAGAGCTATGTTATCTCATTTCATGTGAAATTAGGTGCACTTTATTGCAGTAGTCACAGACAAAACATTAAAGGTTGACTATAAAATATATATTTGTGGCTCTTTGCCTGGTTTTTTTTTTTTTTTTTTTTTTTTTTTTTTTTTTAAATTTTCTGACAAGCCTCTGTGTGGCTTAAAAAAAGCTTCTGGCTTTAAGTTGAAGAAACCTGCCAGCAAAACTATTTCTGCATCTTCTAGTCTCACTGTTCCTGTTGTGGAACTTGGTAATGGATGGGGATTTCAGAAGTGATTAATGACTCACAGGTAGGTCTGGCTGAAGGTCAGTAGGACATGTACGCTCCATTGATGCAGTGGCTGCAGGAACTCTCTGAAGGCCCCAGAGCTCGTAGTTGAGTTGAGAATATCTTTGGGAAAAGCAGATGGCTGGCACAAACACGTGAAGTGTGCTGTTGTTATTGGCAGAGCAGCTGGGTGAGATTGCTATGTTGATAGGATTTTAGAGGTAGCATTTCAGTGTGGAAAAAGACTTTTTTTTAATAATGAGGGATGGATACTGCAGCGGTAATTTTCAGAGCACAGACATGCCAGGTGCGTCTCCATGAAAGCTTAGTGCTGCCTAGCAGCCAGCTCTGTGTCTCAGATGTGGCCTAGTCCAAGGGTGGACTCCAGGCACATAGGCTATGAGAGAGACTACGCTGTCTCTTGGAGACTGAAGCAAGGTAGTTGAGTCACAAAAAGGATACGTTTGCTGACCCTGTCACTAGCAGGAACACTTCAAACCACAGTATTAACACTGGTCTTGTATGTTTTTCTTTCCCAGGAGAACTGTATGTATAGCATAGTGTCCCTGGCCTGGGTTTATTTTGTTTTTTTCTTCTGATGGCTTCTAGTGTTTGTGTGGCTTGTTATTCCACCAGAGGGGGCAAATCAGAAAGGGTGCTGTTGGAGATGACCCTCCTAATTCTTCTGGAGGCTCATTCTTTGGGCTTACAAACTCTTGAGAAATTTTTCTTGCCCAAGGTTCCCCAGTGGGAAACACCCCGCTGTGCCAAAGGGGCAGCTGTTGGCACTTGTCATGCTTTTTTTCAGCAACCTGAAGAAGATAAAAGGCTCTTGGGACTGGCTGGTGTGGGGCAGAGAAGAGGCTTGATGAGCTTGTAAGAGCCTAGGCAGCTGCTGTGGGGTCCTCCTATGGAGCTCCGAAGGAGTTGCCCAGAGAGGTCAGACAATCATGAATGAATTTAGCGCATTCCTTGTGGCTTGTTAACAGAACACTATCAATGATGTTCAAATTGCTGTTTTCCCATCTTCTCCCTGGGCTGTGAAATACCTCAATGTTTTGCCTTGTGGATGTTTTGCCAGCTTTACTGCTGGGAGCCCTTATTTAGTGTTGAAAAGGGCTTGAAGTGTTGGGGCACAGTGTGGACTGCTGATGGGGAGGTTCCTAGAGAAAGTAAATTCCTTGAAGGGTTTCTCCTTGCAGAGGTGCTTTTAGTTTTGCCTGACTGCCATTTTTCTCAGCCAGCGCTGCTTTGCCTCTGCAGTAAGGAATTTGAATGAGTATTTTATCTAGTATCAAAAGTAGGACTGGGTGGTGAGAGAAGAAAAAACATTTACATCTTTCCGTCTTGATGTTTTGGTGTGGATGCTGAAGCTGATCCCCATACTTGCAGGCTGCTGGTTAAGATGTATTTTCAGGTGACTTTTCAGATCTGTTGTACTTTTTGAATGCCTCCCTTGTCTGTGTGGTGAGCTGCTGTTGCTGTTCCATCTCCTTCCACTTCCCTGCTGCCTCCCAGTTCCCTATAGGGAGGTCATGGGGAGGGGATAGCAAGTGGAATTGTTACCTTCGTTGTCATCAGGGCATCTTTACCATCAGACTGGGGGGAGACCTAAAGCTCTTCAAGGCAATTTTGACCCATATGTTGTGTAGGGGAGGGCTCCAAGCAACAGGATACGTGGCTGTTTTCACACCCTTCTCCCAGTGCTTCCCTTTGGGTTTGCACTCACTGCTGCAGCTGCCTGAAGCTGGATGAGCCATGCTCCTTCACCCCTGCAGAGAAAACCAGAAAGGGTAAATAGATTTTTGCAGCTTTTGTGCTACCAGGCACATCCTTCACCTGAGTAGCGAGTGCTGTGATCTGGGGCTCAGCTTGCAGGCTCCATGGCTTTGCCTCTTGGTCTCGGGCTCTCTTCTCTCAAAGCATGCTTAGAGATGAAAGTCCTGGCACTCAGAGTGCAGGCAGGAGCAGGGGGTCCCTTTCTTCTCCTGGCTGACCACCAGGCTGTGGTTGGAATAAAAGTAATAGCTTAAAGCTGTCAGGCTCAGCAGTGGGGAGAGGATGGCTAGGCATTAAGTTTTGTACCTTACTCATACTGCAAGCTTTTATAAATGCAGTGTAAATCCTGCAAGGTGGCCATGGGCTCTTCAGACAGCATCATTTAGGCTCTTGGACACATTCACATGTGTGCTGGAAACGGAACCTGTCCCCTTTACTCTAACCCAAGCTGCAGGGAGAGGCCTGGCAGGTGAGGATGCCGAGATGCTGCACTGCATATCAACTCTCCTCCATATTTGTGGAGTGCTGCCTGATTCCCCTGTGTACTAACCTAATTTTTTCAGTATTTTGGGATCCAGCATTGTTATGGTAAGGTTTGCACAGCACAATGTGTTTTTTCCTCCAGTTGATTTTCTCCTCCAGCTGATTTTGTCTTATTAGCCCATTTTTCCTCTTGCCCTCATTCTGTTTTTCCCCACAGTATGCGAATACCGTTTGCTGAGAAACTGTGTCAGCCGTCCTCGTAATTAAGAGTCTGGCAGGAGCCAGTGCGACAGTCATTTTGGAGATGACGCTTCCAGTTTGGAGCTGACAGTAAGCTGGGTGCTGCGGCAGGGGTTCAGTGCTGGGGATACGGGGACATTCTCCAGCTGAGTGGGGCAGGGGGACCCACGAGGAACTCGGCGCAAGAGCAGTGAGTACCCTGGGTACCTCTCAACTGAGGTATTTAAACTGTGTCCTTTTGAAAAGCAGCTCCAGGAATGGTTAAATTCTAGGTTATATCACAGGTTTAGCCCTTTGGGAGGGAATCTGCATGTGTCTGTAGAGAACAGGAATAAATTGCAGTGGCCTTAAGTCAGCTGCGTCTCTCCATCTCAGAAATAGCTGTAATGTTGGAAAGTAAAATAGAGACCTCAACAATCAAATGGCCTAAAAAAATGTTAAATAAGAGAGAAGTTATTCAATGGTGCTCTGTAATTTGGTTTCAGACTCCGTAGTTCTTTTATTAGCAGGAAAGCTCAAAGCAAACAAAAGCAGACAGGAGCTGGGGATCTGCTTGCCTTAAGATGTTGTGGATGCTAAAAGCTTGGAGCTTCAAAAGTTTTGTGGCAGAAAAATCCATCTGGGTCTATGAAGTCAAAGTGGCCATCCCTGGCTGAGGAAGCTTCAGGCTGCTGATCTCTGGAGGGTGAAACATGTGCTGGGGAGATATTCCAGTGCATCCATCCTGCTTCTGCACCCTCTGCAAGATGCTAGGATTTTGGTCCAGTGTGGTGGGCTGCCTGTATGCTTTATGTGAATGGCTGAGGGATTTTGTGTCATTTCATCTCTGTTTCCAAACTGTTGTCCACAGTTGCGTGTCTCCTTCTGCTCCTGCAACAGAAGCTGCAGTTGAAGGTGTCACCAGCCCTCACTCTAGAGAAGCCTAGTGGGGTGTATGAGATCAAATGTCTCCTGTGGCTGAAGAGACACCAGTGACTTTTTTTGATCTTTCTAATGACACTGCAAGTGAGACTAGGAAAACAAGTTGTGTGGTTCAGGAGCTCCAGCAGAACAAAATGTGACACCCAACCAACCACACACCAAAGATGACCTCATTTCTCTCCCCTCCCACCCCATCTGGAGATCTTTCCAGCTAGGGAGAAGTGAAAATAAGAGCATATGAGATTTTAAAAAAATAATCCTGTGTGGTACCCTCAGAACAGAATTGTTTCCCCTTTCTAGTTGCTGTGTCAGATTTGCCTCTTGGGGGCAACCTCGCCCCACTCCAGCTGGGAGCGTGGCTTCTGTCATTGCAAAGACAAAAGGGAGTTCAGTGTGCCTGGGAGATGATGACTCACTGCACATCTCTCACTGCCTTTGCATTATCAGATAATTTTTGGCAATCGAGGTCATTATTTGCTGAAAGGATTTAAGGAAAGCAGTCGAGGTTGACTGTTTCTGACT